CCCCCGCCCCCCTACAAGACCCGGGGGTGTCACAGCCCCACCGGGGAAAACCGTTCCCTCCTCCCCTGCAACGCCCAGCCAGTGAAAGCTGCACAGCTCAGGGAGGTCCGGGGGGTCCCACATCCCCTCCCAGCCCTGGAGGGAGGCCAAGTGGTGAAAGAAGCCTGGAGAGATCCAGCTGGGGATGGAGCGGGGCCGGAGGGATAGGTCATCTCCGGAGCCACCGCTGGGGAGAGGGGCTGCCTTGTGTGGTTGCCCCCAGGCAACCCCGTTCCTCCATTTTCTCCCCTGCCCCAGGTGATGAGGAGCTCAGGGAGACCCCGTGGGGAGGGTCCAGATGCCCCGGGCAGTGATGGCCAAGGGCCACCTTACCTTGGTGAGCGATTTGAGCCCCAGTGCTGTGACAACTGCCCCCGTGGTCGCACTCACATAGGCCGTCCCCAGCTGGCTGCAAGAGCAGGAGGGGACACTGATGAGCCAGGGTCCCCCCCCACCCCCCCAAAGGAAGGGAGAGCATGACCTTCAATAGCAGCAGGACACCTGGGTTCCTCTGCCAGCTCCACCACCAACCTTGACAGCCCCACAGGTGTCCAACTCTGGCTGCGCCAGGTCCCCACCATCCCATCTCACAACCCCTCCACTATTCGAGAAGCTATTTTTGGGTGCCCTGGGGACCCGGTCAGAGGGATGCTTACCTGGGGGTGATGGGCGCATCCCCGCTGCGGTTGGTGTAGTTGACAATGGCGTTGAAGGATTGGTTGACCCACTGCCAGAACAGCACGGCCGGCGTGGTCCTACCAGAGAGAGAACGGTGCTGGTGGCACCACGGGATGCCACCCATGCTCCTATGGCATGGGCGCACTGCAGGGTGCGGGACACGCGTCCTCTCCTGGCCCTGGGGTGAGGAGGGGACAGCTACCTGTAGAAGGTCAGCATGCAACCGGTGATGGTCATGTTCATGGGGACCTGGGCGGACATGCGCCCTATGAGGAGCATCTTCTCGCCCGTGTCAGGGTGGAAAGCTGAGTCGTAGATGTACTTCGCCCGCCAAAGCTGGTCCTCTGTCAGCCCCGGGGGCACCATGCCTGCCCTGCCAGGTAAGGGTAGCACCCGTTGGGAGACCCTCTGCCAACACCCGTGCCCTGCCTAGTCCCCCACCCCATTCGGGGCAGCTGGGAGACGTGCTGGAGACCAGCCAGGCAATCTGGGGGGCTGGCTTCGGGCGGGGGGGGGCAGCACCGCTTGGGTGGCCGTACCCTGCCCAGGCGCGGTGCTGGG